TCTCGGGTGAAGTTGGATTGGAACCAATGGCGCAAACAGAAGTCTTGATGAGGCTGGTCTAAAAACGCCATGTGGACTCCGCTATACAACCACCGCCGAGCCAAAACAGACAAGACCAAACAGACCCGCCGCTACCCCTGACGCCCGCGAGACTGCTATCGTCCACCCACCCTCAATCCACTCCGTCGTCGTCCACTCAGTTACCACCAGGGTCAACATCAACGCTAAAATGATACCTTAATTTCCCTTTTGTTAGGTGCCATGGGCCTCGCGCGCCCATATATGAAAGAACCTTCTTCGCACTCACAACTTCTTTTTCCTTCCTCCATCCTACGATCAAAACTCCAACTTACAGTCGCTCGTTCAGCAGCTCGAAAGCCGGTCTTTGTGCCACCCACACTCGTTTCCAACGAACCCCCCAAATACCAACCCAAATCTTCAATACCTAGTTTTCTAATCCAGAAACTACCACAACGTCAAAATGAAGGTCACCGCATCCATCATTGCTGTTGCAGCTCTCGCTTCCAGCGCTTCTGCTGGTGTTGCCAGCTCCTGGGCCGACTGGTCGAGCACAACCACCACCACTACGACCACCACGACCACGACCAAGGTCCCCGTCGCGGCCGAGACCACCCACACGTGGGCTGACTGGACTTCGACCACCACCACCACCACTACCACGACCAAGGTCCCCGTTGCGCCTGAGAGCACACACACCTGGGGCGACTGGACCACCAGCTCTGCTCCTGTTTCCTATACCACGACCGTTGTAGGTGCCATCACGACCTACTGCCCATATGCTACCAAATTCACGCACGCTGGCAAGACCTACGAAGTCACTTCTGCCACGACCCTTACTATCACTGATTGCCCGTGCACCATTTCTGTTCCTGTCTACACCACGACCTCCACCTCCTGCAGGTAAAGATTGAAACCTAAGCTGACTTTACAAATTTCCAGGCTGATACAAGCAGTTCCGTCGCCGCCGAATCCACCGGCACCTGGGGTGACTGGTCCTCGGTCCCGGTTGAGGTCAGCACCTCTACCCCCGTTGCCGCGGCCACCACTTCCAGCGCCGCCTGGTCCAGCTATGCGCCATCCAGCGTCGCCCCCGCTGTTGCCACCTACACTGGTGCTGCCAACGCCCTCGTTGCTAACGTCGGTGCTGGTCTTGCTGGTGTTGGTGCCATCGCCGCTTTCCTCCTGTAAGCGGGGAAAGCATATCGGGTCCTGACTCGCGATCGTTGATCGGCTTCTTACGCGTTCGACTCGGAAGAAGCCAGTCAGTTCTCTGCAGTCAAGACTTTGCATTTTAACTTCTTAGCGCTGAGACTCAGGCAAGGAACAGCGGCTAGCCTGCTCGACTGGCGGTGTATGCACGTCACGGCATGAACATTGAGCGGTCACGACAAGTTTGGGTAAATGTGTGTATACCAGCAGCGGGCGCCTGGGACATAGAGTTTTGTTGGCTAGTCGTTGGAGTGGTGTGATGGACAACTTGTACAGTTAGAAGGTACAATGAGATATCGCACCCCTCACCCTGGGTGCTGGTCATTTAATGAATGGAAGTTTTCTGGATAGCGCGTTTCTTGTTTTGGGCCTTGTTGATTTACAAAGCAGCAGGATGATCCCTGTATGGTGTGCTCTTCGTGCAGTTAGCCAGCAATACAAACAAGGAAAAGTTACCAGCGGAACACGTGGAAACAAACGGACCGGTCTATTGATGCTCTTAGCGTGTCCAAATGCCGAAGTCGCTTGGGGAGACGATATAGGAAGCCGATACTCGGTGCTTGTAGAGACGTGAGACAGCACCAGACAGCTCTCCCTCCCTAAGCGTCTGTCGGGTTTGTCTCGGGGGCTGATCAATTGCCTTTCCACCATTTGACTCCCAACCACTTCCATTTGACCATCCTGTGCGGTCTGCAATTCCCCGAGCCTCTCGGCGCCTGTAGCGCATCTCTCCAGCATGCAACCCACCCCCCGCAAAGTCGGCGACGATCGAATGATGTCTGTTCCCCCAACCCAAGTCCGACTCCGCTGGACCGATCCCCTTCGCCCCGTCGTTCCAAGCGACCACAATTCTTTCAGATGGAATGCTTCCGGAGCTGGCTCGGTCATTTCCATCTTGTGCTGCAGAAAAGCTATAGTTGATACCACTGGTGTCCGTTGAGAGCAAAACCTCAACTGGATCGCGGTGAGAATACCAGGCAAACTCGGGCCTCGCTTGGTGCTTTCGATCAGTCGTCCATGCTTTGTCCATAGACAGACTTATATGTTCCTACGGCCTCGCGCTCTGTCTTGATCATTCTCTAGCTTCGAGGCTCCTTGCCGTCCGAATCCCAAACCTGCCCTGTCCTGCGTCTGACCTGTACAGCATCTGCGCCTCTTCATTGTAATCCTTACCAGTTCGAGAGAGTGAAGTGTTATACACTTCGTCCTGCACATCATGTCGCCAAATAACACGGTCCAAGATGCGGTACAGAATGCTTCATTATCCGACCCAGAAGGGTTCTGGGACAGGCATGCTAAAGAGCTATACTGGCATAAACCATACAGCGCGGTCCTGCGCAGGCAACCCAAGAACCTGAAGGAGGGAATCACGCATCCACACTGGTCATGGTTCCCTGACGGAGAGATCAGCACCACGTACAATTGCGTAGACCGCCATGTCAAGGCTGGCAATGGCGACAAGATTGCCATGATCTGGGACAGCCCCGTGAGTGGGTCGAAAGAGAAGTACACATACAGTCAGATGTTGGACGAGGTGGAGATTCTCGCAGGTGTTCTCCGAGAAGAAGGTGTCAAGAAGGGAGATGTCGTGCTGGTCTACATGCCGATGATACCAGCCGCCATCTTTGGCATGCTCGCCGCCGTTCGCCTGGGCGCCATGCATGCAGTCGTCTTCGGAGGGTTTGCCGCTACCAGTCTGGCGCAGAGGATCGAAGCTGCCCAGCCCAAGGTCATTTTGACAGCCAGCTGTGCCATCGAAGGGACCAAGGGCCCTCTGGAATACAGGCCGTTCGTCGAAAGCGCGATTGAGCAAAGCAGTTGGAAGCCGAGCAAAACCATCATCTGGCAGCGAGACATCAGGAGATGGGATCCTGTGAGGAAAGATGAGGGGCAGAGAAACTGGCAACGTCTCGTCAAGAGTGCCCGAAATAGAGGCATCAGAGCCGAGGCGGTCCCCGTCAAGAGCACAGACGGATTGTACATTATTTATACCAGTGGCACCACCGGTTTGCCCAAGGGCGTACTCCGCGAAGCAGGCGGACATGCAGTCGGCCTCAATCTCAGCATCAAATACCTCTTCGATGTCAAGGGCCCTGGCGACGTCATCTTCACCGGCAGTGATATCGGGTGGGTGGTGGGACATTCGTACATCGTCTATGCACCTCTCCTGGCGGGGGCAACCACCGTCCTCTACGAAGGCAAGCCCATCGGGACGCCCGATGCAGGCGCATTTTGGCGCATGGTGGACGAGCACAAGGTTACAGCACTGTTCACTGCTCCGACTGCACTCAGGGCTATCCGGAAAGAGGATCCTGAAGACAAATTCTTCAAAGAACTTGGCGAGAAGGGCCGGCTGAGACACTGGCGGGCACTGTTCCTTGCCGGAGAGAGATCCGAACCGGCCATCATCACACATTATCAAGAGTTGCTAAGCAAATACGCTGCTCCAGACGCGAGAGTGATTGATCACTGGTGGTCCAGCGAAAGCGGCAGTCCCATGACCGGCTTGGCCTTGCGCCCGGCCATTGGATTCGATCATCACAGTCGCGAAGAGCACAAGGCGTTGGCCATCAAGCCCGGCAGTGCCGGTAAGCCAATGCCCGGATTCGACGTGCGCATAGTCGACGACGAGGGAAATGAAGTCGAACAAGGCAAAATGGGAAATATTGTGCTCGCAATGCCGTTGGCTCCTACTGGATTCACCACACTATTCAATGATGATGAAAGGTTTTACAAGGGCTACTTGAGACGATTCAATGCGAAGTGGGTGGACACTGGAGATGCTGGGATGTTTGACCAGGATGGATATTTGCACGTCATGTCGAGAAGTGACGATATCATCAATGTGGCCGCCCATCGGTTCAGTACTGGTACAGTCTCACACCTTGTTAATATGATGGAAACTGAATGCTGACCCATTTTTTCACGAACAGGTGCTATCGAACAAGCCATCACATCGCACCCTGGCGTTGCGGAAGCATGCGTTGTCGGCGTCCCCGATGCTATGAAGGGACACTTGCCGTTTGCCTTTGTCATTCCTTCTGCCGCCACTCCCTCGGACCTGCCCGCGACGCCTTCCAAGGAGTTTTTCACCGGCATCAACAATCTCGTACGAAACCAGATCGGCGCCATTGCCTCATTGGGTGGTATCGTCCAAGGCAAAGGGATGATTCCCAAGACACGGAGCGGAAAGACTCTACGGCGTGTCTTGAGAGAACTGGTGGAGAATGCCGTCGAGGGGAAATATGACAAGGAAGTCAATGTTCCTGCGACGGTGGAGGACAAGGAGGTTGTTGAGGTGGCGAGGCAAAAGGTCAAGGAGTGGTTTGAGGAGCGGAAGAAGCAACAGGGAACGACCAAAGCCAAGTTGTAGGTTTCACGAACTGGACTGCTCTGTTGGGAAGCGAGTGCACATATTATTATTCCATTTTGCGGGCTCTTTTTCTGGACATCTGGGCATCTATTTGACCTGCTTTCAAGAGCCTACATAGGTTGATGTAACATGCGCCTCGAGGTGTATTATGTATCAGTCAAGCTCGTCGGAGGTGTCCCATATATTATACCCATAACCCTACCTACAGTCGCGAGAAGAGGACAGGTAGTTTGCGGGACATCTAACTTAGTATTCCATCTTAAAGGGAGGCTGAAGAAGGCCCTCCATTTGTGGAGCACGAGGTTAGGCTCTGATTCGCCCCACCAATCCAGCCTATCAAAGCCCGCACAATAAAAGAGAGGTATATATATGACATGCCACAAATTCTGCCATTAAAGCCCTGGTGGCACAATTGGTCAGCGCGGTAAGTCCGGCCTCTGTCTTTGGGGGTTGACAATAGTTCTAATTATGATTCAGTGAGACTTTTAAAGCTACACCTGAAGCTATGATAATCTCAAGGTTGAGAGTTCGAGCCTCTCCCAGGGCGTTCAGTAACGTTCTTTCTCCGGATTTTTTTTGTTTTCATTTTTGCTCATCCTCACCTTTAACTCTTGCCTAGAATGCTAAAGTCTAGGGTTTTGGGTAGTTGACTTGATTATGTGACTCGTGGTAATTCCATCGCTCCTCTTCTGAACAGTGACTACTTTACCTACCCTTTTTGGCCTCTACACTTCAGCATATTATTGCCCAGACTTGACTTAAAGAATGGGATTTGACCCCAAAACAGAGGCATCGCGGGGATAATGGCTTCAGACACGCTGCAAGTACAAGATGTTCACCAGGAATGGAAAACCGCTCCAGAATATTCAGAGTCTTGTAGCCTTTCGGCTGACCGATTTCAACAAGTCACAGATCTGCTGTTGGAAAACCCCAACCTGAACTCAACCCACCTCTTCCGGGCCGACATCTTGTACGACAGTGCACACCGGCTGAAGACAGTTTCGGAAAAGGAGAAATTCTGTCAGCACCCTGGGAGAGGAACGAGCGATGAAGACGAAGAACAGGCCGCAGAGGAAGATGATCCTGAACGCACATCTTCAGCACCAGTCTTCGAGGGGGCAACACTGCAACGAAAGGTCCTGAGGAAACTCATCCCTCGAAAGCCCCAGCTGGATCGTCCACTTGACCAGTGGTGCTATATCTACAGCCTCGACCAGCGAACAGGGGAGGAGAGTTCGGGGTGCATTGTCGTTTACGATCCGCAAGTAGATGCTGAGGCGGACATGCCATGGTATCATCCACCGGTCAAGTCTCTGGCATATTTCCACAAAGAAAAGGGGACTCAGACGACGCTCTCTGTTCATTTCCTTCCTTTCCCAACCACCCCTGACCCATTGCCACCCCGAACACATCGAACGTTCGTCTCACTGCTCCAGACGTTCCTCAGACTCGCGAAGAATCCTACAGCAGAACGAGCCATCACTGAAAGCGGCCATAGAACACCAGATGGGAAAGACTCGACAGGCTTGTCTCTCGCTCCGTCGGCCCTCAAAGATACGATCCTTCCCCAGCACATCGTCCAAGACACATACACACGCCTGAAGGAGCAGTATGCTGGAGATCTCATTTCACGCTGGGCGGAACAGACAGAACCGTCCAAGCACGTATTCGAAGACCTGGCCATTGCCGCCTTTGTCATTGAGCTCTGGAAGCGAATGTACCCGCAAGCACACACGTTCCCGGGGTTTGTCGACATCGCGTGCGGAAACGGTCTTCTGACGTATGTGCTCGTCAAGGAGGGATACCAGGGACGTGGCTTTGATGCTCGAAGACGGAAGACATGGGACGTTCTCGAGATGGACAGCCACCTCGATGAGATGCTGTGCATTCCACAGCCGTTCCTAGACCACCTCAACGCCGAGGACATTGACGGATTCCGGGAAGCAGGCGGCAGGATTCACAATGGGGTCTTCGAAGCCGGCACCTTCATCATTTCCAACCACGCCGACGAGCTCACCCCCTGGACGCCTCTTCTCGCCACACTGTCGTCTCCAAACTCTCCGCTACCCTTCTTAGCTATTCCATGCTGCTCGCACGCCCTGAGTGGCGCCAAACACCGCTACACACCCAAGGACGCCACGTTCGCATTATCGTCATCCGCTACTACCACGAGTGCTACCAGCAGTAACAACAACCACACCGAAGAGCAGCCTGCCAGCGGTGACCTCAAAGCCCTCCGAGCGGCCAAGGCCAAAGCAGCGAACCACACCGACGACACATCCATGTATGCGTGTTTGACGAAGAAAGTCGTCTCGCTGGCCCGGGAGGTCGGCATCGACGTCGAGTTGACACTGATGCGGATTCCGAGCACACGCAACATCGGAGTCGTCGGGAATAGGCGAAGAGCTTCCCTTCCTACTGCCACTCGTTCATCTCCCTCTGCTGGTGCGACGACTTTCGCAGCTGCGGCGCATCCCGGAGTAGATGTGACGAGTGTGAACCACGTAGACCCCGCGGTGGCGGCTGACGCCAACGCGAGTCTCGTACAAAGGACGCTCCAGGCCCTGCTGCACCGCGAGTGTGCCGTCTTAGGAGGCATAGCGGCCGCTGCGACGTGTTGGGTCGACCGGGCGTGCAAACTCCAGACTGGGCAGGGAAGAGGCAAAGTCAACCACCACGGGCGACAACCCTGTGCAACTGGAACATGATCATGACATAAATCAAGCATTCGCGGGGGCGGCCATCATACATACATACAACAAGCAAGCAGTTGAGCCACACCTAGACGCTGGCACGCCAAAACAAGTTCAGAGCCGCAAAACATCGGTCCTTGCATGATGAACGAGCATATCTCATCTGGATATACAAACTACCGCCGTGTCTAGAGACTACCACTCCTCGAAAAACTCCTCGAGGCGACATGGCTGCCGTCTCCATCTACGTACACTTCCTCCTCTTCCTCCTCGACATTAGGCAACGCTACATTAAACAGCCCCTCGGCCCATTCGGCAAACGTATCGAGATCCCACACTGCATTCTCTGGGCTCTTTCCCTTGCGAGAGATGGGTGTTGCCGCCGTCGCTGCTGCGCCGTTGACCTTGCCATTCCGCGTGCCGGCCATCCCAGCGGACTGAGAGGTGTATGCGTCGAAGAACACCTCGTAGATCTGCACGACCTGGTCCTCCACAGCGGCGACCAAGGTCTCTCTCGTGCGATGGTCGTCCAAATACTGTTCTAGCTTGGCTCTCAGGATAGGAATCTCCTTCTCAATCCTCGTCCGAGTCTTCTCTACCGCCTCGGCCAGCACGCCCTCCCGCTCGGCCTTTTTAGGCCCCAACTTCTCCAAGTCCTTGGGCAGATCTTTGCACATGTCCGCAGCAAACCCTGCCGTGAACTCGTTGATGGCCGTCCTCAACTGCCCGTCAAGTTCGACTTTCGCATCCAGCATGTTTTCCACCACACGAGGCAGCAATCCGCCAGAGCTGAACAGTTTCATCCAACTTGAAGGGTTGAACAGGCCACCCCGTTCGCGGATTTCCCAGAATGTGGATGCCACGCCTGAAAAGTCAAAGCTCACGTCCGGGGTAACGTATTCGATGTCGAACGCCACAATCTGGGATTTCAAAAGCAACAGGTGCTTCAGGAGGAAAAGCCTGCCATCGACAGGCGAGGACTTGGTAGATATGAGTTGGGACGCCGTCACGAGAGATAGAGTGGTCTGGTGTACAATTTGGTGCGCCAAGTCGTCAAACACGGACGAGTTTACCAGCCGGTAGATGCGGGACAGGAGGCGGAGAGATCTTGAGAGTGTGGGATAGCAGTGTCTCAAAGCAGACCGGCGCGACGAGGCAAGTGACCAGCTGAAGCTACCTTCTTCGCCAGAATCGTCGTCCAAGTCGTTGGTGGTGGGTGTTTTGGGTAAAGGCGTCAGAACGTCCCGGGACGAGCGGCGCCCAGAAAGCATTACGGTGGCCGACATAGGCGGCGCGGAGGTAAGACGAGGGTAGTCCAGGTCTTCAGGTTTGGGTTTGAACATTTCAATGTCTTCACGGAGGATCGCCAGCGCGCGGAAAACAAGGCGGGTTTGTGCATCCTCCAGCGCCGGCTGGATGAGCGCAGAGAAGTCGAGTTGATTCAGATCTGTGGGCCCGTCTTCTTCCTCGTCGTGAAGATAGCGAGTTTGAAGCAACGTGACCAGTGAGCAAAGCTTAGAGAGCTTGTTCTCATGAATGATCCGAGGTCGAAGATGATCGTACAGTGGTTCACAAATCGACTCAAGGAAATCGTAGAGCCCTCGATAGCCGTGGAACCACTCTGACCACAGCTCGAACTCGTCAAGACATATACCCCGGATATAGCCGATACTGGCCCGTGCAAACTGTACCAAGTCCTTGGAGCTGGGAATTTGAGCCGTCTCGCTGAGGCGCTTCTGGACGAGGGGCAGAATCAATCTCCCTCGACAGGCGGCAAAGCTGGAGTGCAACTCGTTCATGAGGCTCTGGTATTCCCCTTCTGTGCCTGGCTCTGCGTCCGCGGGCGGGTTGGCGCGCTTCTGAATCTCCAGACCGAGTTCCTTCATCTCGGCCGCTCCCACCCGGAATTTGGCATAGAGGAGCGCGGACATGGTGGTGTCGTTGAGCTGTTTCGCTGCAATGCGGCCGGCCACTTCAGTAGTCGTCTCCCGCACTGCCGCCATGAACGTGTTGCGCACCAGCGTCAATGCCCGGGTGAGCAACAGTCTGTAGCGTGACCGATAGGTTTCCGCTTCCTTATGTGACAGGTGCGTCTGCATGTAGTCTAAACATTCGTCCAGGGTGACCAGCATATCTGAAAAGTCCTTGGTGCCAACGAAGCTACCAGCCTGCGGTGCATTGAGACGACGGGTGATTTGTTCGAGCGGCTCATAATAGCGCAGATTCTCGGCGATTTGTTGCGCCACAACTTCACTTTTACGCTGCTCATCGAGGATAGAGGCAGACTGGGTCTGGAAGGACTGTGTTTGAGCGCTGACGGACTTGAAGGAAGCAGAGATGGAAGAAAGCTCATCGAGCGTGGCAGCGGTGGAGGCGAGGAGGGTCTCAAGGTGAGCGCTGGCAGCGTCAAGTTGGTCGAGATATTGCCTGTCCTGGTGTTTCAGCGAGAATAACACAACATCTAGAGGTTCCGAAGACGCACTGGTACTCATCGAGACTTGCGTCCAACAGGACCTCGTCGATATCTCCGGCTAACGTGAACAGCTCGAGTTCTGTTTCTGCGCTCTCGAGTTGTGCTAGAGTGGCATCATCCTCGGCGTTCAGGATTTCTCCTTCTTCCAAAGTCATGGCAGTGACCTAGGTTGGTGACGGACTGCTAATTCCTTAGACGAGTCTCACAAGACTGGCCATGCGGGAATGGTGTTGGCCTTTTCATTGCCTGTGGGCCATGGTGTAGAAAAATGAATAGCCTCTTCGAGATGAGAAGGGCGGAGAATAACACGAGGCTGAACAAAAATCGACCAATATTATTCCTTGGGATTTGGACGAGGCTGTGGTCAACGGGTCAATGACGCACACCATTTCCGAGTACGAGCCCTGCGTGCCCTGCTACTATTTGGTTCATTCTGACTCTCTACAAATCTACAGGAGCACAACTATATCTCGATAATGTGAGGTATCGTGTACGCACACCCGTCATCCAAGAACAGCCATGTCCTCGAGGACTCTGCCAGCTGCCGCCGCGCGCACCTTCACTCGACCCCGACGGGTCACGCTCTCTCAGTTGAAGTCTCGTGCTCCATTCTCGAGGGCGGAACGCTTCTCCCAAAAGGCCACACGCAATGCCGCTACTCACCAAGCATGGAATAGACCCTCCGCTGCTATATTTGCAGCGGCAGCCACGGTTGCTCTAGTCTATACAACGACCCAGGTGCACGCTGTGCAGGCAGAAGCTCCACCCCCCGAGACCCAGGAGGTCGTGATAGAAACATCCAAGAAGAGAAAGGGCGTTTCAAAGGAAGAGAATAGGGACCTCATCAGCTCCCAGCATCTCCAAGTCAAGAAGAGCTGGGAGAACCCTGGCGTGTATGCGTGGGGATCGAATACTGGTCGAGTCGTGGCCCCAGATTCAGATGAAACATACATCAAGACACCGCGGAGATTGAGCTGGTTTGACGATGTCCTGCTTCGAGATCTGAAGATTGACCGTAATTTCGGCGCAGCAGTTCTGGAGAATGGAGATCTGGTACAATGGGGCATCGAGTACTCGGAGGACATACGACAACCAACAGTTACACTGAAGGGGAAGAATCTGACCTCCATTGCGATATCAAGAGATCGTATCATCGGGCTGAGCAAGAACGGAACCGTGTATTCTATACCAGTATCCAAGCTGGATCAGGAGCGCGGACACAAACAAACCGATAGTTCTTGGATCCCATTCTGGAGTTCAACCTCGACGATCAGCTACAGGAAGCTCGAGCCCAAGAATCTGAGAGTTGGAGAGCGGGTCGTTGCCATCAGCGGTGGCCTTGAGCATGTTCTTTTGCTCACAAATTCAGGACGAGTCTTCTCTGCCGCCTCAGGAACCGAGGACTTTCCGAGTCGTGGACAGCTGGGCGTCCCAGGGGTGACATGGCTCACTCGTCCTGAAGGCCGCTATGACATGTGCCACGAACTGACCACACTCAAAGGCTTCGAGATCACTAAACTCGCTTCTGGAGATCACCACTCTCTTGTGCTCGACAAAGAGGGTCGCGTCTTTGCATTCGGTGATAACTCTTCCGGCCAACTTGGTTTCGACTTCAACCCGGAAGCTCCTTTCGTCGACACGCCTTCTCTGCTCCCCACTACTCGTCTGTACCAAGGTACCAACCAATCGTCCAAGGTCACTTCAATCGCGGCTGGTGGTTCAAACAGTTTCTTTACCGTTGACGCTACGCGCATCGCAGGCCCGGAGGAAGACCCCAGCTCTATCTCAACTCTGGGCAAGACCACCGCCGACACATGGGCATGTGGCACGGGCATCAAGGGGACTTTGGGCAATGGAAAATGGACCCATATCCAAGGCACACCAACCCGTATTCCGTCCTTGTCGGGCCTCTTTGAGTATGATGAAAAGACCCGAAAGGTGGTTCCGATCCGAATGTCCCAGATCTCCGTTGGGAGCACCCACGCCTCAGCAGTGCTCGATAACGTAACCTACCTAGATGCTTCGGAGAAGTCTTCAGAGGACGACACCAACTGGGGTTCCGATGTGCTCTGGTGGGGAGGAAACGAATTCTATCAGCTGGGTACAGGCAAGAGGAACAATGTGCCGCTCCCGACATATATACGGCCGTTGGACATGGCTAGTGAGGCAGAGATGGGAAGAAGGGAGGAGCACAGATTGCATTTGACACCTATGCACGATGTACAGCTGAAGACCAGTGGGAGGAAAGTGAGAATGGAGCAGCGTGTGGTGTGCGGGAGGAATGTGACGGCTGTTTACTCGGCTGTGTGAGAGTTGCTACATCTCGCCATGTGTGTGTATGTGTTGCATGGAGATGTTTCCAACGCCTTGCTGTGGTGTCCCATGAGGTGCTTCAACGGACATTGACGTCTCAATTCACCAAGTCCGACTCTCCCCCTCTCTCCTCTTCAGTACTACGATGCCCCTTCACGAGAATGTCTTATATAGCTAGCCAATCTGTTTGATTTGACACGCTTTTGGAAGGACCGATTCCGCAATCTGTTTGGATATTTGTAAGACACTCGAGAACGAGGCCCGGCTGGACGAAGCACCGTCGGCCAGTCTGACGCTTGGGAGAGAAGGCTGATGGTGGAATGGCAGAACCGTGGTTTCCTGTGATGCTCTCTTCGTTACTTCGTCTCCTCGTCTCCTCTGGTTTCATCGCGACGCACCGTCGAGAAAGGTTTGGATCGATGTCGTTGAATGCGCCACACTGCCTGTGTAGACGGCGAACGATAGGTCGAAGAGTGATTCGGGACAGAAAAGGACTTGTGGTCAATTATGATTCTTTCCAGCAATCACCCACGCTTGTCTCCGCCGTATGTACCACCAGGGCAAGCATATGTCCCCGCCACCTTGCTTGAACCATCACGTCTTTGACTCCGGTTTCAATAGAATGTCCTCCATCAGTCATGCTCTTCGTCTCATCTAATATGCATGCACGTTGATTCATCTTTCCGTGAAGACGGCCCAACCCATACGCCAAACACCTTGCTGTCGGATTCGAAACCAGTGCACTGTGATTCCACGTGGCTCTAATGAACCATGACCTCTGGCTTGGCGTCTGTCCCTTTACTTTCGCCATTCGCTTGTGCCGAAGTCGTGTTGGAGGCAGCAGTGGGTTTCTCATCGCCCTCACCCATCTCTGCATCTTCACCTTCTGCACCCTCCTCATCTTCTTCGTCGTCTTCGCTCTCACTGCTTTCCTCCTCAAGATCTTCACTTTCAGCCTCGCTGGCTTCTTCCTCCTCGTCTTTGACTTTGTGGCTGTCTGTCATTTCTTGGTCCGCATTCGTCGAGTCTTCTCGAGCCATCTTCGCTTCGGTCTCTTCCAATTCTTTCTCTAGAGCTGCTTGCATCTCTGCTTCTTCTGCACCATAGTTGGCTCCATCGTCATCGAGCGTGTCAGCTTCAGGCTGCTCGGGAGGATACTCGGCTGGAGCAGATTCTTCAGAGTCCCTGTTGGTAGAGTTAAGTTAGGTACGAATCTGCAGCTAGAGGAAGTTTACGTACCACTTGATCGCGAATCTGGTGACCCTGGGTTTTTCTGCAAGCACATTGCGGCGGATCTTTTCAATCACCGGCTTAGCAGGTGGATCGGCATTCAATATCTCGTCATCGTATTCGTTGTTGACGTAGTAACCGACGCGCACAAACTCTCTTCCATCATAGGAGCAGGTCAGGAGGATCACGGTCACGCCGAGGATTTCGGATGGTGGCAGACGAGATAGGTTCGGAGGATCAGCTTCGAAGATAAATTTGTTGACTCCGATAGGAATGGGTCCCACGAGGAGAGAGTCAAGCTCTTGATCGTGTTCTGCCGACGTAGCAGAGCCGACATAGGTGAGTTTCCACTCTAGGTCTATGATACATAGATAGTCATCAGTCAATCTGAAATGAAGAAAGGAGTCTCCCGAGATGAGTTTACCTTCACGAAGTTGCTCAAGACATTCGAACGTAATTTCAAATTCATAGGGTGCGGTGAATGGCGCAGGATTGTTCAGGACTTTGACGCCCAACAGGGAAACCACCGACATGATTGCGACAAGCGCGACAGACGTGCTTTAGTGGGGGTATCGAATTCAACGCGCCCAATGACGTTCTTATGATGGTCTGGAATAGCACTTTGTGGATTGTTTGACTGTGTAATGGAGTTGCGGAGGAGTTGTTTGCGAGAACTGAATCCAAGATCGCGAAAGTGCCATGGCCGCGTTAAAAGTCGCGTCGTCGGCTTTGAATTAAACGCTGCCTGCCCGCAATCAACTACAATAGCAGGTTAGCCGAACAATGTTGAGTTCTTCCGCCGAGGGTTTGAAAGTGACAAATTCCAACCACAAGGGCATGCGCCGTCGCTCACTGTGTCACCGGCAGTAACAATCTAGGCTTTGCGTGAAGTGAAACGAATTCCATCAACGAAGGACCCTTTTTCACTTCGTGACCGTCTCTGCCAACTACCCGAGTCGACAACAAGGATGATGATGTCTGCTTTCAAAAGGCTCTTCTAGTTGTTGTTGCGCAAAAGGTGAGTTTACTCCTCGCGTGCCTAGCAGACAATGAATGTTGACGCCTCTATAGCAACTTCCCCTTCTTCGATCTCAGTTTCTTTACCGACCACAGAGAGTAGACGGGGCGTTATGGCAAATTCAGCTACAGGATCGCCGTCACCATCGTCTGAGACGACGGCGCTGCCATCATACTTCAACGGTACTGCGGCTGCCCCCGATCAGCCAGGCGCAAGTGCTGCACAGTTATCGCAACCCTTCGCTCCCTCAGAGCAGAGTCCTGTCGATAATCAGCGTGATCCAATATTATCTCCAACTCAATCCGCTCTTCATCCTCTCCCTACCAAACCTGTCAGCCAGCTCTCTTCTCAATCCGCCACCCCGGCCATGACTCAGTCTTCTACACCCGCGCCTGCGCAGTCCAAACCCCGCATTGTGGGTGGTTTTGAAGTTGATGATGATCCTGAAGATGAGGAAGGGACACAAGACGGAAAGGATGAGGTTGATGTCTACGATCCGTCCGTGGGGCTAGACTTCGACGTCTCGACACCTGCTCCTCCCCTTGCAAATCAAAACTCCAATTCCCTTAATAGAGCTTCCCAGTCACCAGAACAAGAAAATGGAATCACTCCTGTTCCTGTCCAGGCCACTGGTAGTCCTGCTGACGCTGACCTTTCTTCTTCCACTACTCTTCCTTCTGGTGCCAGTGTTGATGTGCGTGCTGCCACTGCCACACCTTCTCACTCAGCTCCTGATGTTCCGACTCAGAACTCTCCACCCCTCGCGCATGTGAATGCCTCTGTTGCTCCAGGCTTACCCAAGTCTCGACTAGCTCATGATGTGGTTGGTATTCTGGAAGATCGCATCAAGGATGACCCTCGTGGTGACATTGATGCATATCTTGAACTAATCGACGAATTGAAGAGTCGAAACAAGCAAGAAGATGTCCGTCGAGTGTACGAGCAATATCTCAAAGTCTTTCCCCTGGCCGTACGTGCTTGTTCTCTTTCGTATTTGTTTGCCGTGCACTAATGGATTCCAGGCCGAACAATGGTGTGCATATGTGAAATGGGAAGAGGAGCAAGATCGAATGCGGGCCATGGAAACCCTCTTCAACCGATCGTTGCTTGATGTGCTTGATGTGCAACTCTGGACTTTGTACATCAACTATATCCGCCGACGAAACAGCATGCAAACTGGCGATATCACTCGCTCGTACACCATCATCAACGACTCCTTCACCTTTGCCCTCAAGACTATCGGAATGGACAAGGACTCGGGCCAATTATGGCAGGACTACATTAACTTCCTCAAGACTGGCCCGGGAATCGTTGGTGGCAGCGGTTGGCAAGATGGGGCAAAAGTCGACGCTTTGCGAGAGGCATACCAAAAAGCGATTGCTGTTCCTACCGCAGCAACCATGCCCCTCTGGAAAGAATACGATGCGTTTGAGACCGGGCTGAACAAGATCAACGTTCGTTGAAATGGCAACCCCATGGCTCAGGAACTATGCTAAAATCTCTCTAGGGTCGGAAATATCTTCAAGAGAAGTCTCCCGTCTACATGACCGCCAGGACGGCCTTCACCCAGCTGCAGAATTTGACAAAGGACCTGAAAAGGACCTCGAGACCGCAATTGCCACCCGCACCTGGGTTTGAGGGTCATGCCGAGTATATGCATCAAGTTGGTCTGTGGAAGCAGTGGATTGAATGGGAAAAAGACGATAACCTTGTTCTCAAAGACGAAGACCCTGCTTTGTACAAGAACCGGATTTTGTTCACATACAAACAAGCACTCATGGCCCTAGAATTCTGGCCTGAGATGTGGTATGATGCCGTGGAATTCTGTTTCAGCAACGGCCTCGACGCCGAAGGTACCAAGCTCCTCAACCAAGGAATCACGGCCAACCCAGAGTCACCCCTGTTGGCATTTAAACTGGCAGACCGTATCGAGGTGTCGACTCAGAACGATGAAAGTGCAGATCCCGGCGCCAAAGAACGGATGAAGAAAATAAGAGAGCCATATGACAAACTGCTGGATGCACTCTACGAATTGATCAAGAAGGTATCGATCCGCGAGAAACAAGACATTCAGAAGGCGGAACTTACAGCTGCTGGCAACGCAGGGGATGGTTCTGGAGACGACGACATCAATGTTTCCAATGTCGGAGCCAAGAAGGCGGCCCTCGACAGCCAAATTGAGACGATCAAGAAGAGTGCTCAAGCACAGACCGATGTCCTCAGTCGAATGGTCTCGCATGTCTGGATCGCACTGATGCGCGCGACCCGACGAGTGCAGGGAAAAGGCCTACCAACAGAACGAGGACCTAGTGGCTTCCGTGCTGTCTTTGGCGAGGCGCGCAAGCGAGGCAAGCTTACGAGTGACTTTTATGTCGAATCTGCTCGGATTGAGTGGCAATGCTACCGGGATCCCACGGGCACCAAGATCCTTGACCGTGGTATGAAGCTGTTTCCTGAAGACGACTACCTCCCGCTTCAGTATGTGAAACACCTCTTTGACATCAACGATGTCACGAATGCACGAGCCGTCTTTGAGACCACGGTCAAGAGACTTCTGGGCCACGACGACGCTGAGCATACAGCAAAGGCCAAACCGCTGTTTGCTTTCCTGCACGACTACGAATCCAAGTACGGGGAATTGGCTCAGGTCCAGTCGCTTGAAGAGCGGATGAAGAAGCACTTCCCTGAAGATCCTCAGCTGAAACTCTTCTCCAGCCGGTACAACACCTCGTCTTTTGACACTATGAAGACGTATCCCGTCATCTCGCCACAGCAAGTGAGGCCTCTGCAAAACGTGGTCATGCCCTCTGTGGAGGTATCGGAAGTCGTGAACTCTCCCATTCAAAAGGTGATTGACGCCATCACAACCCATTCTCCGAAACGGCCATTCCCAGACGATTTTGAAGATGTTGGTCCACGTAAATTGGCGCGTGGCGAGTCGCCCTTGAAAGGTGCAGCGGGTCGTCGCATGAATCAACAACAGCAGCAACAGCAACAGCAGCGCCAGATCAACCCTCCTGTCGGGATGCCACAGTTCCAAGCTCCTCCACCGCTACCGCCAGCAGTTGTTTACCTCCTGAGCATCCTGCCAAGGGCTTCGACGTATGTCGACACCAGGTTCGATGCCGTGAAGATCATGGAGCTGATTCGCGATGTTCGTTTGCCTCCGCCAGGCGCAGTCCCTGCTCAACACAGCCAGACTCCAGCCCCGGCACCCCAGCCAGGTTGGCCTGCGTATCCACCACATCCGCCTGTACCTATCCCGCCACAAGGCTTCGGACCGCCGACTGGTGTTACACAAGGTCCGTACGGAGGAGGTAAGTGGCTGCTATAGTCTCCACTCTGGAAGTCATGTTACTGACAATGATCCCAGCTCCATTCCGATACGCTTAGATACGAGATGGGCACTGTATAGGAGGGTGACGACTGGCGTGGGAGGTAGTGCATGATGTAAAACCAACACTTTATGTTTTCAGCATTTTAGCAGCCATAGGGTCCAAGTCAGGGACAGATAGCAAGATGTCCACGCCATCACAGAGTCTCGGACAGGAAAGGTTCATTGATTGGGATCTTGCAATGATCGAAAAAGTCAGCTGCGGTTGAGCCAGCATTGGAATCTCAACAAATAATATCTTGAGTGTTTTGCCTGCTTGTGGTGTTCCCGCTCTTTGTCTGCGTCATCTAACCCCTGTCCTGTTTCTTGGTCGTATACCGTACGATAGGGCAGCTTTGCATGAGCCGTTCTCGACTGTAAGCGGACGGATGCCTGAGGGGAGGGTGTTTTGGCGAGGTGCTTCCAGGGTTTAGTCTGGTGTGTTTAGTTCGATCCAATGGACAGGGTAGATTTCGCGGAAGACGAGCAAAGGTCATGCAGACCCATTGGTACGGAAGGCTGCAACCGCAGAGGCTAGGTTGGATGTAGAATGGTCGAATAGTTGAACTGAAAGAGGGGAATTGCCAGCCTCACCCCCGAGAAGTTTGCAATGACGCTGGCTGGCTGTGAGAGAAAGAGTGGTGAGATGAGGCTGAGAGACAGTTGGTTCACTTTGGTCTCTTCTCTGCTCACATCTTCACGCCTCTGAGATATTGGCAAGTGACAAGGCCGCGTGGTTGTCCTGTAGAAAAGGAACATGTGATTGAGCCTCAGGCTACAAATATCTCCTTTTCCTCCTCCCTGCAACCACTTGTTTCCTTTCTCCATTACCCACCTCATTCATTCTCTTCTTCATCTTCTTCTTCTTTGTCCTTGTCGTCCTCGTTCATCATTAATCTCATCTTTTTCCCCCAAGGTCCTCTCCCCCGAGAGGCAGCTTCAATTGCTTGTCAACACCGTTTCTCTCACCCTCCAACTTCTCAATCAGGCGCAGGTGAGCCACTACACTTTCTTTTCTCATCGCTCGCACCTCTTGCACCTTCCTGCAGCAGTCAGCTTGAATCCGAGACACCGTTTTAAACAAGAAGCTGTACCTGCCCCTGTCATCTCTCATCTTCTCGGTGGTTCTGCTTCTCTGTTCTCTGCTTCACCTACACAACAAACACCACAACAAACAACGCGCATTCACTTCCTCGTGCAAAACCTCAGTCAGGAACCTTTCCCCCCCAACATATTGTCGGTCCATCTCATCCATCATCTCTATACACCCAACAAGTCTTACCTTGTTATCCTCATCTTCTCAGTTTTTCCCTTCTCTCATTGAGATCAACCGCCCCGCATTTTACTCAGGTTGACCTTCATTATACCCTTCGCAAGCTCAAGCACTGACACCACAACGAACAGCCTAGAGATCTTTGAGTCAACATGTCTGGAGCAGCCCGCAAGCGAGGTGCCGGTCGCGCGACTAGGGGTCAGCAGCCGGCCGAGACCTCTTCTCGTCGTGGCGATCGACTTCAAGTTCCTGGCGGCGGCTTTGATGGGCCTGCTTCTCGAGGAAGCGCCTCTCAGTCTGGTCCCGGTTCTGCAGGTCGCGGTGCGGCCTCCACAGCTCCCTCTGTCGCATCAGGTGCTGGTAGTCCCAGTGTCTCGCAAGGCGGCCCCGAAGAGCAGTCTCAACCTCGTCGCAGCAGTCAGTCGGGCGGTGCACCTCCGCAAACTCAAGGGACTGTCCTTCGAGGGGATCCAGCCCAAGACAGACCGTCCAGATTCACGGATCAGATGCGAAATGTCGATCTTCCAGCATCGTTCTACAACATTGATCAGCTTGTAAGTAAATATCTTTCTTGGTTTGCTCCCCTACACCGACTACTGCTTCACCCGCTTGCTATGCACTCTCACCCTTTATCTTGTCGAGGACATTCATCCCCTATTTCACTGCCTTGCAGAGTGTCGGGCTATTCAGATCGGCCGTTCAATGTCACTTGCCCTTTTGACGCCATTCACCCCGTTACTCCCCGTACACTGCGTGTCACCACTCCTGTTTGATCTTCATTGCGGATCTCTTCAATGCCTCTCTTATTGTCTGCATTGTACATTCTCCTGCAATTCACCCGCATTGTCTTGCGCAGTGACGCTTCCCATTGTGTCAACAATCCCTTCACACGACATAGATCGGGAGCAGTTCTTGCCCTGGGCTATTTATACCCCCCTTCGCCCTTGCGCCTTGACTTTCTCTTTTCTCACCTCACACATCTTCTTCCATTCCCTGCAGACATGGCACCTCCTGCTTCCAGAGGCTCTGGTTCTGGCGCAGGTAACCCTGCTCCCTCCTCCCCATCTCGTTTGCCAAGCGGCTCTGGTCCCGGATCGCCCTCTCGTCCGCAGGGCAGCCCCTCCCCTACATCTCCATCTCGTCAAAATGGCGGCCCAGGAATTGCTTCCCCATCCCGGCCACAGCGCAACTCTTCTATCTCTTCCTTGGCGTCTGGAGTGCTCCAAATTCCCTACGTCCCCGAAGGATTAGAGCGCTATATGCACCTCGTCCCTGGCATTGTCGGGCCTCGTGCTGACTATCACAAACAGTACAGCCTTCCCACCCAATATGCAAAGCGTCCAGGGTTCAACCAAACAGGGAAAGCGGTTACAGCCAACCTCAACGCATTCAAAGTCCAACAGTATCCCACGGTGAAAGTCTTCCAATACGATGTCATTGTCGGCAATGGCCAGGAGAAGCGAGTTATCAACCGCAAAGTGTGGAATTCACAAGCTCGAAAGAACGCTACTGGGCCGCCCGTCATCTTCGATGGCAATCGTCTCGCGTGGTCCTTGCGTGACTACAACGAACTTCGCCTCATGGTGGATCTCGATCAGGAAGAAGGCCGTCCTTCTCGAGAGGGGAGAAATGCTTTTCGTCTTCTCATCAAGCGTACTCGTTCGCTTGATATCAGTCTCATCCAGCAATTCCTTGACGGCCGGATCCAGATGAACCAGAATGTCGCAGAGTGCATCATTTTCTTGGACCATCTTCTCCGAGAAAGTCCGTCTTCGTCGCCCCAATTCATCACGATCCGTCGCAGCCTCTTTAGGCGTCAAGGTCAACGTGCCGATCTGGGTGGTGGCATCGAGGTCTGGCGCGGTGTCTACCAGTCGATGCGTCTTGCCGAAGGCAAGAAAATGATCATCAACGTCGATGTCGCCAACACTTGCTTCTGGAGACCGACTACTTTGACGTCGGCCATTGTCTCCAAGTGGCGAGAGATCAAGGACATCAATGATGTCGCAAATAGAATGGAGCCTTATCAGAACAATGGCCATCGAGAATCCAGCGATTTCCACAAGACTCTGGAGAGAGCCTTCAAGGGGGTCGAGGTCAAGGCTGTTTACAAGGGTAATCCACTCCCTGCCAAGGAGTGGAAGATCTTTCGTTTCGATATCAACAATGCCAACGAGGAGATGCTTGAATGGAAAGATCCGGCCACGAAGAAACCTACTGGTGAGATGGTATCCGTGGCGCACTACTTCAAGCGCAAGTACAACATCACCTTGCAGTACCCCAGACTCCGCCTGGTAGAGATGACCAAGAAGGGTGTCAAATACCCCATGGAGTTCCTCACCATCCTTGAGGGTCAACGATACGGTGCGAAATTGGATGAGATCCAGACTGCCAACATGATCAAATTTGCCGTCTCGCCCCCGAATGTCCGACTCAATGCCATCAACGAAGGCAAGAGTTGGCTGAACTGGGATGGTGATGACTACTTGAAGAATTACGGCCTTCGCATCACCCCGACGCCCATCAAGACCAATGCACGTATCCTCCCAGCTCCTGGCATCAAGTTCGGCAACAAGACTGAGCAGGTCGGTACGCGAGGCCGTTGGGACCTCAAAGCAAAGACTTTCCTCAGTCGCAACCCGCAGGAGCTTGTCTCTTGGGGTGTTGGCGTCTTCACCGGTCGTCTCAGACCCGATCGAGCTCAGATTGACCAGTTTGTTCTCGACTTTGCACGCGCTTATCGAAACCACGGGGGACAAGTTGCGAATGCGCCGCCATATGTCACAACTCTCAACCAAGATGTTGGTGCTGCCGTTGCAGCCTTGCATCAAGCAACCGGCAACCAGTTCAACCGTCGACCCCAGCTTCTCATTTTCTTGGTTCAAGATCGCAATTCTTTTCATTATCTTCGTATCAAGAAGTCTTGCGACTGTCGCTTCGGTGTGGTCTCTCAGGTGATGCAGATCCAACAGGTCCTCAAGGGCAACCCTCAATACTACTCGAATGTATTGATGAAAGTCAATGCCAAATTGGGCGGCACTACATCTCAAGCCGTACCTCACGCGACAAGTGGTTTCAAAACTTTCTCGGTGCCGACAATGATCATCGGGGCTGATGTCTCGCACGCATCACCTGGCAGTCAACAGGCGTCGATGGCGGCTGTGACTGTGTCATACGATCGCTTTGGTGGACGGTACGCAGCGGCATGCCAGACCAACGGCCATCGAGTCGAAATGATCTCAGAGGCCAACTGGCGCAACATCTTGCGGCCACTCGTGAGTCAGTGGATGTCTCAGGTCGGAGGCGGCCGGTCTCCTCAACAAGTCTATTACATACGCGACGGGGTGTCGACGAATCAATTCGAGCATGTCCTCAATCAAGAAGTGCCTTGCATCAAGAAGGTCATCGAGTCTTGCATGGATGGCCACAAATTTGAGGGTAAAGTCACCGTCATCGTTGCCAACAAGCGTCACCATATCCGCTGCTTCCCTGACAGAGATGGCGCCGACAACAAGGGCAACCCAGTTCCAGGCATGTTGATTGAGAGAGATGTCACCACTCCCAATGAGTTCGACTTTTATCTGTACTCTCACACCGCCTTGCAAGGAACCTCCCGACCTGTTCATTACTCGGTTCTCCTTGACGAGACCAATCACCGCCCTGAGCTCATCCAGAACATGATATACGAGCACTGCTACCAATACATGCGCTCGACCACTTCTGTTTCCCTCCACCCAGCGGTTTACTACGCTCACTTGGCCTCCAACCGTGCAAAGGCGCATGAAGATCTTCCGGCCACTGCTGGTCCTCAAGGCGGTGCAGGCTTCAAGCAACAGAACCCTAGCAGGAGCTCTGAACCTTCCGACTCCGAGGTCAAGCCTTTGATGCCTCTTTTCAACGTCAACGGCATCGTCTTCGCCATGTGGTACATCTGAGTTTCTTCTCAGAGTCACCAAGACAGACACGGCCTGACCTCTGGAGATGGAACCCTGCAGATCAGCCTGCTTCCACCTTGCCACTCTTTTGTCCGAGTACGATACAGCCAGATGACTGCCATGCGTCAGTCACCGAACCCATACGGGCCAAACATACGAACGGTGCTTCGGAGCTCTTACAGCAGTTGAAGCCTCTGCTTCTGAACAAAAGGCGAAGCCCTAGTTTCAACGGGCTCTTCTTAGCTCAACATTGATTGCTTTTGTGGGAAAAAAAAGGGAAATTTACAAAAAAAAAAAGCACAGTCGAGCAGGTATTCTCGTCCATGCCTCTGATGAGGGTGCGCTTGAGTTTACCGGCGATTGTCAACCATTCTACGGCTCGGACCTTGTCCAGATGCTGGCTGCATGGTATCTCCTAGCTTTAGCTCAGTTTACACAATCCAGATTCATCACATGAAGCTTTTCTGTTCCATTGCTTTTCATGTCGACACGATATGTGCCCAGCTAGTAGTTGTATCTTGTGCCCAAGTAGTGAGTACCATCCAGAGCCCGGACACCGGACACTGTACAGTGTACAGCCTCGAGGCCTTGCTCCAAAGAACAAGGACACAGACGACCTGTGGTGCTGTTCTGTCCTGTTGGTCTGTCCGTATCCTTATCAGCCAAATGCCCCATCCCATCCATCTAGACAATACGCTTAGCGTGGTCCATCTACAGAACGAGAAGAGTAGAACAAACGAGTAAGACAAGGCAAAATCTGATGAGCAAACTACAAAGCGTATGCGCGTAAGCTGACGAGAGAGAGAGAGAGAGAGAGAGAGAAGTCAGCCCAACAAGCAAGAGACGCCAGAAGACAGTCGAAAACAATTTCTTTAGATACCGTTCGACAGCCAATGAGCACCAACATCCCTTCACTTCTCGACCCGTGGACAGCACGCCTCATATGCCTTTCATTGAAGCCCATTATAGGCCTATTATAGGCCTAGGGCCTCATCTGCTTCTGCTTGACCAACTCAAAGTTCCACAGCCAGAAGTATCACAACATGAGCCCTCAACCATAAACTTGCTCATCTCGGTGGCTCAAGCCCAGAACAGCATGTCCTAGTAGGCACTTGAGCCAGGCATCGGGCCATCGTACAACATGCACTAGATGAAGAAAATGGGCAAACCCCCGAGTCCGATTGCCAGAAGCGAGGTGCCAATCCACGCAGCAGCAACCCTGGCACTGCCTGAGAGTCCAATCGGGGCAGAGAGAATGTCGAGCCAAACACACCGCACCAGCAAGACGATCAGCATCATGAAATGCAGAAACGTCCACCCCAAGGCCTCGCTGAATTGCATTTGTGTGTTGTGGGCTGTCATCATAGCCTTGCGAATCATCATAGCGCCATTGGAGGTAAAGTAACCGAGGAAGAAGACCTTTTTCGCAATAGTCTTCAAGCAAGGTCGCATACTTTTCCGCAAAAGAGCTCTATGCAATCGGGCTTGGTGGTCTCCGTCGATGCGAAAGTGGACAGGACGTCGGACGGCCTCTAGGGCGTCGGTTCCGTCGATCTGGCTGATAGAAAATGGGGGCGGATTATCAACCTGTGGGTCGAAGATCAGCAAGCATGACGATGCTAGCAACGGCTTGCTCCTACCAAGGTAATCTCTGAAAGTGGACGTGATGACATTCCTTCGCCCCCACGCTGAAAGTCATCGGTGTCTGTGTTGTTTGGCTCGATGCCGTCCGCTTCGTAGCTCGAAATCTGACTCTGATCAGGAGAGAGTGACGGGAACCTCGGAGGAGTAGCCATTGCGACAGCAGAGCAGCCAAACCCGGATGTGCTGGTGGTGAGCTGAGCAGCGAGACGCAAGACAGACGGTGAGAGGAGCAAAACAACAGAGGCGAGCGTCGGAAGTGGCAGGGAGCAAAGCTGCAAATGAAGTATGAAACGATTTAGTATGCACAATATCGAATACCTGAATGTCACAAATCAATGGCTCTGAAGTGGTGGAGATGGGACGAGAATTGGACGGGATGGATGGTCGAAGCCGTGGGATATATGTAGACCTGCGGCAGAGGACCAAGCAGCTGCTTCCTCAAGAACGAAGTCGGACATGTCAACGGAAAGCAGTGAAGTCATCGAGCAGTTTGGCAAGTGAGGCCGGCTCAGCAGAGAAGCAGCAGGCGATGTGGAAGGCACAGGTTCGAGATTTCGCATCAGGCTTTTCACATTGGGAAAAAACATGGATTCCCCTAGATCGGGCGCACCAATGGTGGTCCGAGTCGAGTCGATACCTCAATGTGGCTGAAGTTATGTACACAGTCTTCCCACTCTGGAAATTTCAATGTTGATACAGGACATGACGTCGTGAATTCATTGAGCGCGTAAGATATTGGTGGCATCTGCTGCGGACATTGGTAAGGGCTTCCTCTCAACGACCGTGGTAGTCGATAACACCTAGACTTCGTCTCATATCGGCCAGGCGGTCAGCAGCGGGGGGAGCAGGAGGAGGAGAGTCTCCCTCTTGACCCTCGGTCTCGGGATCTTGGATCCGGACCTTCTTGCGAGGCGCGGACGCAAACGAGAAGTTCTTCAGGGTCGGCAGCTTGGAGATCTTCTTGCCCGATTTCCCAATGGCCTCCTTCTCGTTCGTTGGTGACTTGGTGATTGAATCTTGACGCAAACGGCCCATTGGGCTGCTTCTTGGACTGTCATCCAGAGTGTGCATCGTCTGGAATTGGAGAGGATTCGTGTTCAAAGCGTCGGAGAATTCCATTTGATCATCTCCTTCTTTGTAGTCGTTGGGATCGCCGACCAGGGCAAAGCTATGCCTCCTTAATTCGTCCTTGCGCATGCGTCGGATGCCGAGACGCTTCAGCTCGGTCTTGAAATCGTCGAGCATGATTGTATCCGTCAGGCACTTGAATACCAAACTCAGTTTCCACCACGGATTGATCCTGTCCAGCCTTGTGTCAGCCCACGGATCACGAACCAGCTTGCAGCGTGGAGAAGGGGCACACACCCGTCAATACTACCGGTGAAATCGTGGATACTTGCAGCAATATCCACCGCCGTGAAGATGAGGGAGAAACAGATGGCACAAAGGAGAATTCCGAAGCGGGGAGATCGCTTAATGAGTTCAAAGACTCCCGTCCCATACACGGAGTTGATGACATAGAACAGGGTCAGACAGGTAAAAACCCACCACGGGTCTCGCATGAGCGGCTCGTAAGGGCGGACTTTGACGTAAAAGTCGTTGATGTTGTTGAAGAAGCGAAAATTGTTCGAAATCTGCCAACAGATGAAAGGAATCGTAAGGGCCAAGGTCCCCAGGTATATCCTCCGGACCCATTTGCCCGTCTCAGGCTTGAACATGCTTCTCGAGTCCATGAAGAAAGGTTTGATCTTCATCCAGGCGACGATGTTGTGGACGATCCAGGACATGTACAACAGGGTGGCGGTCGCCGACAAATACCACCCATAACCCGAGAAATCCATGAAACAGAATGTTCCTATGAGCCCTGAATTAACCCGTCTGTCACAAGAAAGGTTGGAGGAGCTTGCGCGGGGTTCGCGCCAACATGCTTACCATGTGAGAGTGCCGCAAGTTGCTAGAGGCGAGCGAATTTGCTGGGTCAGCCTTACATACTAGGTATTTTCGGGGGGAGCAAGTCCACAACCATAAATCTAAACTTACCTCGATCAAAATCAGTTTGTGCAAGAGAACACCCCTCCTCATATTTGCGATGGTAATGCATGCCATAATGACGAGCGCGCCGACCATGAAGCCCTCAGACCATCCTTCCAGAATAAAGTCCTCGTCCGAGGCAATTGCTCGCCAGTTGCCATCTCCTGTGCCAACCGTGCCGCTCTCATTGCGGCGCGTCAGGACGGCTGGCGGGGCCATTGAAAGCTATCGAGTCAAAGACGGGAATCGGTCATGTCTCCGCCATGAGACCATGGAGGCAGAGACTTGAAAATGCGTCCGAGATATAGGAGGGGACAAGGTTGGGATTTGGAAGCAAAGGCTCGTTGCAACGGCGGTGAAGCCCTCTCCGCCACCGATTCAGGTCGCTGTGCGACGCAGTCTCCGATTGACTGGCCAAATACGCAGTTTGTGGAACTCTGAGGGGGTGATGGATGTCGCTCGGTCGAGTCGCAAGCTGAAGGGAATCTCACCCAACAGCACGGTTCACGATGGCTAGTCGCGGTGAACGAGCTGAGTGAGACGAAGGGGGTGGACGACAGGGCAAGGGACGAGGGAGATGACAGTCGAGCTGACAAGAAAGTGGTTTGATATGTTCAATGAGGACGTGGGGGGAGGGAAAGGTTTGGTTGACGGTGACTGAGACTGCGACGACGACGAGAGTGAACAGGTCGAAGATGGACAGCAATTGTCGCTACTTCAGCTGCGGGCGCGTGTCCATATGAGAAGAAGCAGCCCAATGGCATGGACTGACTTCGCTAAAAGCCCGCATATCGGAACTGGGGTGGTGGATGCTGGGGCGCATTAAGATCGTCGGGTCACGCTGCACGGCTGGTTGTACCTACAGACAATGTTCCCTCAGACTTGGACTCGGTAAGGCGACCTTGGACACATGGGTGGTTGACCGGAGGTTGACCAATTGGAGTTAGTAGTATTATTGGTGGGCTGCATGGCTAAAGTCGGACAGGGGCCTTTAGGCGTCAGCTGTTGAGGCCAAAAAGTGGGTTCGAGGGTTGCTAAAGGTACTTGTTCCAAGTAGGTAGGTGGCACCAGTGGGTGCGCAGTGGCCAGCCAGCTCACCTGACAAATGATATGGGGGGTCCTCTAGGTGGGTGCTAGGTGGGCTTTGGGCTTGGGAGAGGTGATGCCCACGAGGACTGTACAAACCAACCTGGAAAGGTACCGAGGGTCGAGGACAAACCGAGTATCCTCAGAGGTAAGGTTAGACTATACCCAAGGTCATGGTCCCCGGGGGAGCCACAAGGCCCCGCTAGGCACCCCTTCCTGGTTGAAAAAGCCACCCAAACAGAAAATTCTACGCGGGTAGAATGACGCATGGAGTGGCCCGTTCCCCACCCCTTTCCCGCCTCTTCCAAGGCCCCAAGGGCGCAGAGGCCAATAATGGCCCCCCCGCATAACACAAGGCCATTGAGACTCACCCTCCCCCTTCCGTACTTGTAGGGCACAAAGAACTGTGGTAGTGGTGGTATGGTGCTACCGCTGCTACGCCTGCTGTAACATATTGTCAATGACAAGGAAAAACTAATGCAAAACCAAGGTCGGAATCCTACCCACCAAACCTCTCACCCAAAAAGTCAAATCCGAAGCAGGGGATCTACAAAAGTTCATGGATGTATGTACACCCAGACCCGGTGAGGCAGACTCGTCTAAAGAGAACAGGGCTTGTCCCTTCTCTTCCTTCTGGCCAGCCTCTAAAAAGTCATTCTGCCTTGTCGTGGCCTGTACATATCCGCTTAATTCGGATCCCCGTTGCAATCTCAATAACGCTAATATATTCGCCTCGACCCGAGTACGTCGAGGGGAAAAGATTTTTTGAAGCCACGAATCGGAAGAGACGAGTATTATGCATACGGGTACCTTGAGGACCAGGAGCTGGTAGTATAGAGAGGAAACGGCCTCGATTCCTTGTTGCTGCTCCTGCTTCTCTCGTGCCCGACCAAGATACCCCAAAGATATAGATAGCATTCCCGAGGAGAAAGGTGGATTTTGTTGTGGGTAAAAGTACATCGCCAATGGTGTTAGCCATTAAATCATGAATGTGCCTCGTCTGCTCGTCGTAGCCCTCGCCTTCCACATGCTCATCCTGTTTTCTGATTTCTTTACTTCTCAAAGAGGGCAACCTTGGTACCAACACCGGAAGCCAGCGTCACCGTCAACCACTCGCGCCATTCCCTGTCGTCTCGACTCTCGATCCGCGGGAAAGTCTGGATCAATCTGATGGTGGCATAAGACGCCTCCATCAAAGCGTACTGTTGGCCGACACAGATGCGTGGTCCTCCATTGAACGGCAAGTACTCCCAGCCTGGTCGGAGAGACTCCCATCGCTCTGGTTGGAACTCTAGCGCGTCGGGTCCGTAGAAATCCTTACGCCGGTGCACTATCCCACACTCGTCAGTATCGTCACAGCTACTTCAAGTGTTTCTTTTCCGTAGGGGACTTACTTGACCACGGTGAATACGCCACCACTTGGCCCTTTCTCACCAGCACGGGAGCCTTGCCATCCACTCCTCCTCCAAGAGGCAGAATGGTGTCACGGATGGCCTCACGACTGTTGCCAGGCACGACCGGCATCAGTCGAAGGGACTCGTTCAGCACCCATTTCAGATACTTCATATCCTTGATGGTGTTGTAGTCGGGCTTCTCGCCGCCAAGCTCATCCACTTCGGCCTTCAATTTAGCCCAAATGTCTGGTCGGTTCGATAGTACGTGCCAGGTGTTTGACAGCAAGCCTGCCGTGGTGTCACGACCCGCGAGCAGGATATTGAGCAATTCCGATCGGAGGGCGTAGGGATCCTGAGTCTGATTGAGCAAGGCGTGGAGGAAGACGTAGCGACTGTTCGGATCCTGCTTGCCGGACTTCAGCTCCTCCATAGCCTCGTGGATGATTTCGTCAGCAAAATCATGAATAATCTTCACACTCTTCCGCCATTTTGCGTCCGGGATGTAATCAGTCAGACCTCCCGTGCGGAAATTCTTGCCACAAGCTACCAGAAATCACATACGTCAGCTGACAAATTTCACCCAAAACCCGCGAGGCCGTACGTACCTTCAGTGACATAGACAAAGGCCTTGACAAACTCGTTGGCGGACTTGGTCTCCAGACCTGGCGCCAGGCTGTTTGTGGATCTACCAAACAAGAACTCGGTCGCCGAATCAATGGTCAAGCCGAAAAACAAATCTTGTAAGTCGACCGTGGATCCGTCGCGAGGAATGGAGTCGATGAGATGGGAGACATGGGCTTCGAACATGTCGAGGTCGGCCACCTGCTGACGAGTGAAGTTGGGTCGTACCATGGCACGAGATCTCTCCCAAGCCGTGCCGTCGTTGGCGAAGATGCCGTGGCCGAAGATGGGGAGGAAGACCTGCCTCCTTCTCTTACCAAGGGAGTAGTCCTGAAACTTGGTGGACAGGATTGTCTTGATGATCTCAGGCTCGATAGTGGAAATCACTATTCACTCAATGAGTTCGGCGTTCTCTGGACTGTACAGGCCCTCAGGGATATGATACGTACCAGTGTTTTTGGCCATCCTCAATTTGAGGGTGTTTCTGCCATTGCTGAAGTTTCTGAGTCGAGTCGCCTCGTTCATTCGACCTTCCTTGCCGGATTGGACCATCTGCTTAATCACGTCCATTCCATAGAGTTTGCCCATAATGCCTTTATGAGGGTACCACACCACCTCCTCGCACCCATTGTCCCGGATCATTCGACGCCTCCTGGCACCGGTGGTCAACTCATAGTAGATCCGATGAAGGGCATACACCGCAACAAGAGCAATGAGAAGGACGGGGATGGGAAGGTGAGGTATCGACATGATGGCCATGATTGGAGGTTTTAAGACGATTGAAGGGGGCCGCAAGGACGGAAACAAAGATTGTCAGGAATAGGTTCCAACTTGATGCTCGTCCAGGGTGTTATTTATTCGGCTTTGAGGGACCGTAATAGCTCCCTCGTATAAGCAAGTTCTCCAGGTGGGTGGGTGGCCTCAGTCCAGGAGGCAAAGACAGGGTTCAGGTTTGGTGTCAGAGTGTCGGGATGGCCGCCAAACGAGAAGTGATGGTTGTAACCGATCGATGTCAGCAAGGCACAAACCAGTAGTGACAAGCGAGACCGAGAACGAGATGAGGTCTCAGCTACGAGGACACCATCCCTTTCGACAGCTATTGAATCCGACGTGAGTGTCGGGGCTGATGGTGGAAGAGGAGGATACTATGGTTATGTATCACCCCGTGGCAATGCGTGGCAGTGCGTGTCAGTGCACAGTCGCTGGTGGGATATTATTCCTCCGACGGTCCAGTTGTAAAGACGCTGATGACGTTTGATCTGGAATGCAATTTGCTCGAGCCCAAAACGGCCCTTTTAACGAGGTCAAGGTCTATCGTCCAGTTAGGCGTTTGGGTTGTAAGGCACAATGTTGGGGCTTGACTCGAAATAGGTTTCAGCTCCGAAAGGAGGGGAGCAACGTCGATTTGATTTGTACGAGGTATACGAGCACTGACGGAGGATGGACTACCTAGAAAGGTGTTTGGTTGCGAGAGGTGCCGGCACAGGCTGGCGCAGCCTGGCGCAGTCTTGGTAAGCTTGGGAATTCGTGGAGATGGGAGATGAACCGCAGGCGATCAACAGATGCCGAGGCACAATTAAATGAATATCGCAAGACATCTGAAATTCATTTTACTTGTACCAGTCCGACTACCGAGTGCATCAAATACCATCCATTCAACTGGCTGACTGGGTAACTTGGTAGCAGCCTGGCCGGTGCTGGGCGCCCCGGTCGATCACTCACCCTTGGTGACTCGCCCTACACGGCTCGACGGCATCCACAATCGCCCCATTTGGAATATAAAGCGAGCAATCCTCCTCCTTTCCTCTCCTCCAGTCTGCCTCCAACCCAACAATCCCTACTCGGTCCTCCTCTACCCAGGGTGCTAGACACAAGAGATGCCTGGTCTATCATTCGGGCTGCTCCATCTCCCGGTTCTTGCTCGCTTGCCTTCTTTCCTTCCAACTCTCTAGCACCTGGTCAATGTTCCCGACGGTCCAATTGATGGTTCCATTCTAGCCTCGGAGCAGTAGTACACCTCATCCCCTAACATGTGGTAAATGATGATGACACTGGCGACATCAATTTGCTGCTGACCCGACTTCGCCTTTCATCGTGACCGAAAGCTGCCGCCTCCATTCCCATAGGATTGCGCCCAGCAGCACCTGTCATCTCGCTATTCCGTACGAGTCCAAGAATTCGAAAGGCCCGTCTACCCTGGCCACATCCTCCCATTCTCCAGTCCACCAGCCTCGTCCGCTAATCTCTTCCATGATGGCCTTGCTCTGGACCTGCATCACTCTTCCCACGGCCACGATGCCCTCCCCTCGTCCCAAAACTGGCGCTGCCCCGCCCTCGCGCCCTGTCTCCACCATTGCCTCTTCCTCGGCTGCTCCCCCCGTACCGGCCACTCCCACTACTACTGCCTCTACCTTTGCCGCCGACCTTGAAATCGATTCTCTTCAATGGACGCTCAACCGCGTCGAGTCCATTCAGTCTCAACTCGGCCCTCCTTTCCTTGCTCACTTTCCACGGTTGAAATATTTCCTGCGCATCCTGCAGACCGCGCAGCTCTTCTACCCAAGCCTTGCAATACTCACCTCGGGGATCGTAGTCACAGCCTTGTTTGATAGGGTTGAAGACTCTGGCTTCGCCACGAGGGTCATTCCCCACCCCAGCCACGTATTGCCAGTTGCCCCAATTGGAGCTGACGTCGTAGTCCGTCAGCATGCATTCATACCACTCGGCCCCCAATTTCCAGTTCACGCCCAGGTGCTTTGCTAAGAAGCTCGCCACGTTTTGTCGAGCTCGGTTGCTTGTGTATCCCGTATGGAAGAGCTCGCGTTGGCTTGCATCGATAAAGGTTGTCCCAGTTGTCCCACGAAGAAATCTATCCAACATCTCTGCTACTTCCGGGCCACTGCCTTTGCTGCCAGGTGTCTTCCACGCGGAAGAGTGCTCATTCCGGAACCCTTCCAGCCGAAACAACCGATAGCCAAATTTTCGTGTAGAGAGCCTCATGTAGTCTCGCCATAAGAGCTCAAATCGTACAGCAGCAGTGCCGGAGTTTTCCCCCTTCCCATATCCTTCTGCGGCTCGATATCGGTCATCCCTCCCTTCCTCAAACTCGAGCAGCTGGGAGTGTATTTGGCGGGCGGTGATACAGCCGAGCGCCAGCCAAGCCGAAAGTTTGGTAGAGAAATCCGTCCCTAACAGACCGTTGCGGGTGTCTTTGTATCTGCTCATGAGCCCCGATTTCACCAGGAATTCTACCCGTTTTTCTCCTTCTGTATTGCCCCCATGGAAAGGATGGGCAGAAGCGACCCCCGAAGAAGGAAAGCAAGGTGGCTTGGAGAGCGGAGGATTGGCCATCAGCGGTTTCATCAGGGCCGATTCCAACTTCTCGAACGTGTCAGGTATTGAAAATGGAGGGGTCTGCAACGGGACTGACGTTGGCAACGGAGGCAACGATGGCGGCGAGGGTAGTGTTTTGCGTGGCGCTTCCCTCAACGGCTCTACTGACTTCCGGTAGCTGGTGAAGACATCTGGAAGATCAGAAGGCTTGTCGAACGGCAAATCTCGGCTAGGACACGTCAGTCTCGCACAATATCCTACTTGTTGTGCACACATACTCATCGATGAAGTATTTCTCATCCAGCCATAACCTGAAGCCAGTCCCAAACTTCTCAGCAGCCTTGCGTACGTCCCGTTCCTCCCGCTTCTCCTCCACGCCTTCCTCCTCTGTCATCCATACTGCTGAGACAGATGCTTCGTCTGCCTGACGGAACTGGTCCAGGATGTCTTCCACCACCTGACCTAAGATACCGACGCGGATACACAGACCGCTACCCACCCCCTCGAGCTGAGACTTTAGGTCCCAAATTGATTCGGCGAGAAATTTGGCTCTGTGAGGGCCACATCTCCAGAACTTTCCCACCTCTGAACGCGCCTCGGGGAAAGGCGATTTGGAACCAGGCTCGGTGACGAATCCGGAGACTTCGACCTGCTGGGCGGCAAAAACATATACAGGAAGAACGTGAGTAAATGCCTTTTGCGCCTGCTGGGAGAGTTGATGTATCTCGTGAAAGACGGGATTATCTGGAAGTCGGAGGTCTCGTCGCAACAAGTATATCAGGACACGATGGGTGGTCATTGAGCCAGGTGCAATGCTGAGGAGCTTCCTCGATCATAAGAAATCCCTAGTCTCTAGACCTCCACTGGACCGTAGTCTCAAAGAGACTAGAAGGATGGCCTTGCAACCTCCAAGATTCTCAAACAGATGCACAGACGTGCCAAAGGGCAATCGTAGAACGTGTGCCGTCGACAAGTGCTTTCTAGGGGCAGCAGTTGATTTATGGAAATATTGGAGGGGAACAGGACGGGCTTTGAAGATTCGAGGATTCAGAGTCCATGAAAAGGGCGAATCTCGAAGGGACTGTAAGAGAACCAAAGACTGAAAGAACCGGCACGCAAAGACAAGTCAACGATCCCAGCTAATCAGCTGGCGACAGATGGCAGAATATTGGCCTTTTCAGGTGGTGGACGGGGTCTGGCCAGGGTGCCCTAGAGGCAGAGTATACCTAGATTTGTACGTTGTCCACCGGTTAAGAGGTTGGATGACCAATGGTGCAGGAAGGACATGCCCTACGAGACTATTTCTGCCGGGTTTAGATGCGGTCAAGGATAAGGTATCATGAAATCATTGGGGAAAGACGTCGAGAAAGCGGAGCCAGAAAGGGTGGCACCTGGGAACTTAGGCTGAACCTTGGGAGCAAGTCGAGGGTGAATGGAAGGCTAGACATGGCCAGCAGGGCGCTGGCAATGTGTCAAGATGTTGGGGAACGGATGGATTGGCGGAAGGGCCGGTTTGTGGCTGAAGCAGGACAAAGGCAGGAGAGCAGGCATCATGGCGTGACGCGAGAGAAGGATGGGTTGGAAACAAGGTTCGATCTGAGGTCGGAGAAGTCGATCTGCGAGATCGATATGTGGAGCTTTCAGGGTGGTACGAGGTAGCGCCGATCGATCGGGGAATACCTACAACAGATTGTTTCTGTCAGTTGGACAACTGGACTGGGTGAGGGGGGGTAGCAGGCGAAAACGTGGTTTTCCCGGGCGGGGACTGTGTTTTGCAAAACATGACCACCATGAGTTTGACGTACAAGACCGTCTGGCGACCGATGCAGAGGGATTAAAGAGGGAGGGAATGAAGAGGTGATTTGCGCAGTCGTTCGCTTAACAGCTGCAAGGTAAACTTTGTGCTGGAGCAAATGACACAAGGACAAGCCCGCACTTAGCTGCATCCGGATGGCTGGGAATGAGCGTGGACATTGGATTCCGCCTTGTGTAAAATTAGGTTCGGAGGCATCGGTCTATGCATGGCCTTGTTGGGTGTCATGATCATTGATGATTCTGTCTGTCTGCCGACTACGTGCGCGTGCGCGTGGTGTGGAGAGGGGGAGAGAGGGAGGTTGGGAGAGAAGGACGAGGGTCAAGGAGAGTGAGACTGCGTCCGTGCAGTATGTGTTGTATGTGTCTCTGTGTGGGTGTTTTGTGCAGCCATTTCCAGATTGAGATTGTGCTTTTCTTCTTCTTCTAACGACCCATGGCTCTTTCTGGAGGAGTAGTAAGCCTCCCTCGTGACTGTCAACCGTTGAGATCGTGTAACTTTTTCATGGTGGGTTTTGGTACCAGGCAGGTTAGGTCGAGGTGCCGAGGGCTGCACAAATCGCTCTGGCTGTGTGACGGTCTTGGAATTGCTCACTGCGCGGTTGGACGGTTCCTGGTTCCGGATAGGTTGGATTACATTTGCTTCGGTGTCAAAGCTATCAATTGGCACAGGATCAAGGGTTGTTGATTGCGCGCACAGCTGTGTTCTTGCGGGAGCAACAGATATGTGACACAGGGAGAATCCACTCCACAGCAGTTCAGCAAGCCTAGGAAGCCCAGGTGTTTCGCCTAACAAGCCCAGGTAGCACCTACCTACCTAGTGCGAGGTACCTACGTACATTACGTATCCGGCTGCTGGTGGGGCACGCGGGCTCCGATTCCTCAGTGGCTCGGTACACGTGATTGCCTAGTGAGTCCTTCCCCACAATCTTGGGAAGGCTGAGAGAAAAAGGCCCGCAAACGCCGCAAACCGCCTTTTGGGGCGCAAAGCCGTGCTTCTGTCGGCGCCTCTTCCGCAAGCGAGGCTCGCGTCATTTGGCAAGCCACAGTCGCGTGGTCTACAGGGGTCTTCCCAGACACGAAACTTGACAGCGACGACCTCGTACTCTGTACCGAGTACATAAGGGAATGCGGAAGACATGGCAAAGTGGACACGCAAAGTGCTCCAGGCTGTCATACCATGTCATGGCCACAACCTCTGAGTGATGGGCATACACAACGCTCCCAGGTTCATCCATTCCAGCAGCCACCCAAATGTACCTATATTCATTAATGTTTTATTGAATCCGGTCAGAAATTTCGGTGTCTCCCTGGTGCTCGGCTTGAGTCTGTCATGCTCACCACCACACGCCCTGCCAGAAAAAGAAAACCAATTTACCAGTATAGCCCTGTCCTGTCATGCCATTCCGCTGGGTATAATGAAACAACATGGTACATCGGAAATGCCCATTCCTGGCGATAAGAATCCGTCAAAATCCATCCATCTCGTTCCGCCTGTTGCTGGCATGCTGCCATCCATCAAGTCATAACCACAAAAACCACTGAATGAATACAAAAATCCACAGGACAAGGGCCTCCCAGGATAATATATTGTACAGTCGCTCAAAGAAAGGATTAATATGCAATCAGTGAGGCCAGAGTTGGGTGCCCTGGTGTTAAGCTGCCGGCGCAGCTGCCGGGCTTTCATTGATGCCATCGCTTCCGGACTCGGACTTGACACCATCCTCTCTGGCCGTAACGTCGGAGGGATTTCCACTGCCGCAGCCTTTGACAAGGATATGTCGCTGTGACGCAAAAGTCAGTCTCATGTTAATCAGACTCGATCAGTCCAACTTACTTTCAGCGCGTCTTTGCGAGAGAAGCTCTTGTCGCAGTGATTGCACGGAAAAGGCTTTACAGCAAGATGAATCCTCTTGTGTCTCTTCAGATCATGATTACGGTTGAAACTTTGCGGGCACTGATCGCACTTGAAAGGCCGGTCGTGTAGCGGTTGTTGCTGGGGTGTATTGCTCCGAGCCGGGCCATACATGCTGTGGGCATTTGCCGCATAGCCGCTATTGAAAGCCATGGGTAACATGTTGGCTTGTATATTGCCCACCATTGCCATCTGAGCACCTGGACTGTGGACGTTGGACATGATCGCACCAGGCATGGCAGGCAGTGAATATGAGGGCGGAGGCGGGCGCATAAAAGGAGCCTGGGACTGGGGCCCTTGATGGAGTGGCGGCGAGACTCGAGGAGCGGCAAGGGAATGATGGTGCGGACTTTGTGATACTGGTGCGGCTGCAAAATGGTACGCAGGATGTTGTTGAGCCGTAGTTGTCATGGTTGCGTACAAAGCGGGATTTGATACGGCTCTGCTGACCCCGTCGCCCGGCGTCACAGGGGATTGTTGGTTGGGTGGCTTCACACTGTTCGACAACGGCGATATGACGCTATGTTGGGCTGTCTGGTGGACAGCGTTTGAGGGAGAAGAGAGGGGAACAGGGGCACCGTACGGCTGAACCGAATGGAGATCATAGGGTGGAGGGGGCAGTGCAGAGCCTTCTCCGGCTGAAGGGGAGTTGGTGCTGTTCCTCAAGGTGCCTGGTATCGGTGAAAATACGGATCGGCCGGACACGAGAGATCCATTCTGCCAGGAAGGTGTGAAGCCCGTGTGGTATCCCGTGGGCGTGGTCCCTGTTCCGAACAGTGTTGGCGTATATGGTAGCACCGGGCCTGCTGCGCTGTTTGGGGTTGTCCCCGTGGGAATTGCAGATGAGGCAGCGCCGCTCTCCGAGGCTGAATTGGACGGGGGGGTCAAAAGGTTTCCCGGGTTGATGGGCGCAATAGCGTGCGACGTATTGATCCCTGAGAGAGGAGGGAATTTCTGACTCGATACCACAGAACTGAACTGCAGAGCATGGGGAGGCGGCAGGTCGAGATTGAAGGTTGTTTGCCTACGCTGGCTTAGGCTGGAGGGTGTGGTGAGCCCATCGAGGGATGTCCCCATTGGAAGGGGAATTGCGACGGACGCCAGAGTGACTGCTGGGGAAGAGACTCAATGCGGGTTCCGCTGGTTTTTGAATGAAGAGTTATAAGAATCAACACTCCTGCAGAGTATGCTCCAGCAAGAAGTCAATGCTTCCTTTCTTATCTTGTTCTCGGCGATATTGGCGATGGGTAGAAAAAGGAGATTATGAGAAGACCAGGCGGCAGTGTCTCTGGAATCAGTCAACGAAGGTGTGGCATGGATTGTGGCTATTCGGAGAGTCGATAAGTGAGATTCATCTGTGTTCTCGAGGGCAACCCAAAGTTTATGCGATTTATCTCAACAGTGCCTATACGCGATGCAGACTGGCAACTTTTGTAGAAGGGTTGGTGGTGGAGTATCGTAGGTGAAGATCAGTTTCTTGGGTTGAGAACGCGGCTGGCTGGTGCGGCTTTCTCAGTGGTCGCGGGGCTTTTTATGATAAAATGGGCCTCTCTCTTCAGACAATCGAGGAAAAAGATCTGCACAGACTGAACCAAGCCCGATAGTTGACGGTGCTCCTGCTGGATACTGCACGCGGATGGCTGGAAAAGGAAAGTAGCACAGCTGGAGTCGATACCTCGAAGGCCGGAGGTGACGATGGCGAGCGTGGAGGTAGGGTTATTTTCACTCGCAGACAAGAGGATGGGAGGAGGATTTTGATCAACGAGGGCAGTTCGATTTCAAGTGTACTCGAAGTCGCGATCCTTTTGGTCGGGGCAACACATGGCGCTCTTAGCGGGCAGCTGGCGGCCGGCTGGCTGGACGGGCCTGTCGCCTTCGTCGCCTAAAAAGAAGAGAGCTGGTCGAAAACGGACAGCGGAGACAGGAGGTGCTAGGATGTGACGGGTATGGTCGCGATGGATGCTGCTGTACGGACTGCAGACTTTGGACGGGTGGAGAGGAGTGTTTTCTGGCTCTTTAACGCTGTACGGGATAGGCTTGGATGTGGGCAACGACGGACAGAGAGCTGATTG